AAAATAAGCTTTACATTTTTAAATGGTTGAAAAATAATCAAAGGGAGAATAATATTTCATACATGTGACAACGGTATGAAATTCAAGTCCTTCAAGTTTTATGGGATCACAACCACCTTCATTCATTTAAAGCACGTGGACATGGCAGGGCTGAGGAGCAACACAGAGATCATATGGCCTGTGAGCCCAAATCATTTTCTCTGGCCCTTTAACAAGTCTGCCAACCCCTGATTTAAAGACTAGGCTAGGTCAAGGTCATCCACAACAGCATTCCATAGCAGCTTGGGTCCCAGAGTATTAAGTGATCTCCATTAACAAGGTCAGCTTTACAATCAAGTCTACAAAGAAACTTCCTGAAGTCTGGGCTTCAAAATTATCTCAAGTAGGATTTATATGAGATGCAGCTGAGAATTTAGGAAAGCTACAGCCTCCTTTAGTTTGGAGGAATTTGCCTCAGAAGATGGAAACAACAGGGTACCTCACCCAACTTCAAACACCCTCTGAATTCAGAAATTGCTTCAACTCTGCCCCATGACCCCTGCGGGGGGTAGGGCTCCCACAGGCCCCAGGCGTAACCATAGAAGTTCTCACCTCAGCAGCCTTCCGGGAGGTGCTGTCACCTGACTGAACAGAGAGGCTGGGGAGAAAGCCCCAGAAAGCTTGAGTCTCCCAAAACTATAGACTGTTCCTAAGTTTTTGTTCTCTCCCAAAGCTCAAGATGCAGATGAGATTATAAACCATTGTGATTTTTATTATTTTTTTTACTATAAATATAAAAAAATGTCTGGGCAACCTTATGGCAGCCTCCTTTTAAGAAATAGGAGATACATGTTATAAACAACCTAGAATAAGCATCTTTGTTAAGTCCCTGTGTTATCATGATGGCAGCAAACGTGGAGATGGAAAACATGGAAAGGACATCATTTAACTCATTCAACTGAAAAGCACAAGACTGCATCTGAGGCCTGCATTTGCTTTTGGGTAGTGAAGCAAAGGAGAGTCATTTCATTGCAAAACCCTATCTGGAACCAGGTCTGAGCTCCAGGAAAGAGACATCTGGAGCGGGCATCCCACCTGGTAGGCACTGCTGCCCAGTGCATTTCCCATCACAGGACACAGCAAGTTTGCTATTATCTGATTGCATGGTGGAGTCAGGAACAGGAGGCCCCAGGCTGAGGCTCACCAGCTCAGACAAGGTTGAGGCAGTTGCACTCTGTTCCCCTTGACTGGGGAACACCCAGTGGTCACGCTGCTCTGCTTTTCTGAGGTTATCATAGTTTCTGTCCCAGACTCCACAACAGGCACCAGATTAGAGACATGTACTCCACCCTTATTCATCTCAAGGGCAAACCCACTACTTAGAAAGGTGAAACTTCTGGTTTGGCTGATTTATCCTGGACCCATGGGCCTAATGTGTGACATGGATGGTGTCTCCTCTCTAATTGAGCTAACTTTTGTAAAAGGATGTATTTTTTAGGCCACCACCCAAAACGTGGACATTGTGAACTGGGGCAAAAAAGCTTCAGAGAACAACTCCAAACAGTAGACTACTCAAACAGCACCAAGGAAAAATGGATTTTTGTGAGGGCAAAAGCAGGCAGTAAGGACAGGAGGACAAATGCAGTGACTTCTGAATGGGGCCATTTAGCTGATTTATAAACGATCTCACCAGTGTCCCTGGCTGTGGGAGATTGATGTCTCCTCCTTCTAAAGCTGGGGTCCCCCAGACTTGTTTTCTGGAAAACCAAGGAATAAACTCCAAGGATGCAAATTCGTTATTTTCAGACCTTAATTAACTGGAACCTAATTAGGACTTTTGAGAGTGTTTTTTCTCCCACTTTAAAGGAAAACTTTTTTTTTCTTAAGTCAGCATGGTATAAATGGAGAGAAACTGAACAAAGAGCTATTTGGATGTTTTGCCTTTGGGGGTCTCAGCTTTCTAATTTATAAATTGAAAAGGCCATTGAGGTTTAGATATCAAAAGTCATTTTCAGCAATAAAATGTGGATTCTTGGACATGCCGACAATTTATCAATAATCTGTGAAGGTTCCCTGTCTTCACCATCACACCTCTCCTACTGCTGCGAACTGAGGTCACCCGGCAGTCTTTTCCAGTTTGTTGAGTATTTCACACACTTAATCCAATTGAACTTTACATCAACCTGATGGGGTAATGTCTCTGTTATACCAGAAACCCGCATAGTTGGTGTGACTGAGTAGCACTTGATGAGTTATTCTAGAAGTCAGGTAAAGAAGGGAAACATGTAGAACAGATTATATATATACATATACATATACATATACATATACATAAACACACACACACACACACACACACATATAATTTTGTGTTTTGGTTTAATTTATATAAGTGCACATTCATTTACTATTGTTGAAAAAGTAAGCCTTTTTAAAAAGTATATGCTAATTAGATTTCCACAGTCTTTTCTGAATGAACTACACTCAATTTATTGTCTTTTACTTACAGTTTAAGCCATTTGTAAAGCAATTTGAATATAGAATGATTCTTGAATTTTAGGATTTCCCCTGCACTTGTACAGTTGTCTCACCTACAGAATGTTTATTTATTTATTTATTTTTGATAGTACTAGAGATGGAACCCAGGCTGAGCACAGTTGGCAACTGCTCTATCACTGAGCTACATCCCCAGTCCTTTTATTTAATTTTATTTTGAAACAGGGAGTCTTGCTAAGTTGCCCAGGCTGGCCTGGAACTTGAGATCCTGCTCCTCAGGTTTCCTAGTAGCTGGGATTACAGGCACGTGCCACCGTACCCAGCAAAAACAGAATTTTCAAACACTCATCCAAATCTTTCCAAAATATTTAACTTAGTTTTTACAAAAACAACACATTTCTTTTTTATGATTGTATTCAATTACTTGACCTAATATTTAGGTAAACTAGATAGTTATTTATATTTAATTACAACAATGCATGACAAGTGCTGGAATCACCTAGGTTCAGGGACATATGCACAATTCCCCTGATCATGGAAGGAAGAGGTGCTAAACAGCGTGAGGGCAGCCATGAGCACCAGGCACTGCTGTGCACAGAGGAAGGGGAGTGCTGGTGAGATGGCTGTGAGCATCCAGGCAGTGAGTTTTAAGAAGACAAGTGGAGCCAGGCGTGGTGGCGCCAAATTCCAGCAACTTGGGAGGCTGAGACAGGAGGTTTGCAAGTTCAAGGCTGGCTGCGCAACTAATGAGACCATGACTCAAAACAGAAAAGGGCTGGAGGGCTCAGTGGTAAAGCACTTGCCTAGCATGCATGAGGCCCTGGTTCAATCCCCAGAACTGGAAAACAAACCAACCAACTCACACAAAACACAAACAAAACTTGCCCACTCACACACACACACACACACCAAAAAAACAAAACAAAACAAAAAACAAACAAACAAACAAACAAAAACCAGGAGGCAGCAGAAAGGCTGACCTGGAGCTGAGGAGGAAGGTCAGGGCATCATTAGTATCCATGCAGCTGAGAGTTAAAACCAGGAGAGCAGAAGAGTCCATTCAGGGAGGGAATGTGGAGCGAGATGAAAGGAAGGTGGGGAAGATCCCAGTGAATGGGATCCCAGGGTGAGCAGAGGTAGAGGCTTCTAGAAAGGGGACATTACTAGAGATATACAAAGGGAGATTCAGGAGGTGGCCCAAGGGCCTAGTGCAGGACTGATATCCAGGAAGCAAGAATCCAGGGGGTGCTGGGGGTGGCAATTAGAGTGCCTTGGGGATTTGCAGGAAGCACGGAGCCCTGCTGCAGTCTCCTATGCCTTAGTCCCTCTTCCTCTAGCTCATGTCCTCCTCCTGCTATTCTGCCTATCATCTCCCCTGAGCATGCAGAAGGGCAGGAGAGTTCAAGGAGCTGCTCTGACTGCAAGCACAGGCAGGTCTGATCATCCAGGTCCTGAGACCTTACTACTAGGTTGGGGCAGCACCTATTTGCAATGCCTGCTAGGAAGCAGTCATGCAGGATTGTGGCAGAAGGTAGGATGAAATCAGAACCTCCACTGCAAGGTCTTAAAGCAGGGCTGGGGAAAGAAGTCTCTGCAGGGTAAGCTATGCTAATGGTCTGATAAGCAGATCCCTCAGGCAATCCCAGTGATCTTGCTGCTACCCACTCCATTTTTAAGACACATGGAGACAATTCCACAGCACACAATGGCCTGGGGAGGAAAGTGTGGGTCAGAAATACAAATGAAAAAAGATTCCATGATATAAAACATAAGCTCCACTCTTGTAATGTGCTGACAAGCAATGAAGAGAGAATTCCTGGGTCCTAGCTGTTATCAACTCTGGAATATGGAAATTTACCTGATCCAAGTGACAGCTGCCTAAGTCCCAGTGGGCTGACAGTGTCAGATTCACTGCGACTGCAGCCACTGTTTGCTTCAACAGCCAACATTCTCCAGGCCCCTCTCTTCCCTACTTCTTCAGATGTTAAACAAATAACTCTCTTTGAGGAATAAGAAGGGGGGGGCTGGGGCTGGGGCTCAGTGGTAGAGCCCTTGCCTAGCATGTGTGAGGCACTGGGTTCGATCCTCAGCACCATATAAAAATAAAAAAATAAAATTAAGCTAAAAAATCCACATAATATTAAAAAAAATGACATACTGTTTTTTGACCCTCACAATCACACACTGGCCAGCTACTTCCTAAACATGGGTGTCTTCAGTTCTTGCCCTCATGAGAAGGGATTCAAACTAAGAACCTGAAGTGAGGATCAAATCCCAGGCACAGCCTCTCCACAGAAAACAGCAGTGGTTTGCTTGCAGAGCTACCTGCACAGACACCATCCTTTTCTGTGACTGTGTCACCAGGCCTCATGCCTGTGGAGTCTGGAGGGTGGGTGGGAGAGCAGCACAGTGTGGTGGAATGCCTGGGGAAAAGCCAGGAGAGACAAAGACTGCCATGCTGCCTCATCCCACTGGCTTCAGGAATGAGTCAAACTTTACGGCTGCACTGAACAAAACACACTGACCTGATCCAAACGCAGTGCGCCGTCCACAAAGCGCTGTTGGCGAAGCTGTTTTGCGATTCCGTGCAGGTTCAGGACCGCCTGGTGCACTTCCTCGCTGCTGTGTTCTGGGGAGATGGGGGGCAGCTCCTCCTCAGGGATCTTCTCAGATGGGCTTTCAATCATGCTCTGAGCATGCTCATAGCTCAGTTTGGTGCAGGAGCGGATGATGGTCCGGCCAAACCACTCCTTGAGGATCTGCAGAGACAGACACATTGTGAAAAAGCTGGGAGGATATGCTTTTCCAGGATTTTCTTCATTCAAGCCTTCACCACACAAACTCAACAAAGATTTATGGAGTGCTTGACCTTGTGCTCAGGATGCTGTTACACAGTTGAATCAGACATGGTTGCTGCTGCCCTCAAGCAGCTGGGACTCTACCAGACCTGGGCTGAATTCGATAGGCAGTCAAAGTCTACGAAGGTCCCCAAACACACCTCGAAGAGTGAAAAACCTGTGAGAATCTTCTTCATTAGTTTTAGGAGAGTGGTCATCAATTCATAACTTGGGGCAGGAGGAAGGGACAGTTGCCAGAGATGTGACAGATGATGTCTGGGCTTGGTAATGGCTGAGGAGGAAGGAAAGGGGAGAAAGTAGGGCCATGGACAGAAGCAGAGGACACAGGTGAGGAGGAAGGATGAGTGGACAATGGGAAAACCAATTTCCACATGTCTATGTAGAGAAAGAACAGGGTTTTGGACAACAATCCCTTACTGTGAGGGACTGTCCTGTCATTATTAAATGTTGAGCAGGATCCCTGGCCTCCACCCACTAGAGGCCAGTAACATCCCCCCTCCCCAGCTAACAACCAGAAATGTCTCTAGACATTGCCAAGTGTCCCCTGGGGAAAAAGCCCAGACTCCAGGGGCTATGCCAGCTCAGTGGTGGAGCTTGATGAATGCAGAGATTACTTTGAGGTATATTTCAGTCTTTCAATTTCTCTGTATTTTCTATAAGCCTTTATGGTTTTAAGAAGAAAATAAAATAAAACATGAAAATTCTGGGGGGACTTCCAAGTCTGAGGTGCAGATTGAGATCCAGATGAGGGTATCTATAGGGCATCTGGGGTGCTGGCTCAGGGCCTGAGATGGTGGCTGGTCTGGTTCAGAGAGCTGGCACCACCCCTCCAGGGGCTCAAGGAAGGAAGAGACGGGCTGCGTTCCCCTATACCTGCCCATGCAGGGAACAGGGAAGCCAGAGGATGAGAACAGAAGAAAAATAAGAGGGTCCAGAAAGGAAAAGACCAGGTATGTCTAGTGGTAGGAAAAGGGGCGTGGGGGAGAACTGTTAGAAAAAAGGACACTGACATGCAACAAGACCATTTAAAATGGCACTTCCTACGAGACAGGCACTGATGACCCACTTTCCACACGGCAGCTACTGATTCTCCCAACAGTCCTATGAGGTAGGAAGTTTATGAACCTCATTCTTCAGTCAGGAAACCAAGGCACAGAGAAAAAAAGTAATTTGTCCAAGGCCATGTCACTACAGAATGGCAAAGGGGAACAGAACCCAGGTAGTGCCACCTCAGTGTTTAGCTCTAACTCACCAGTGTCACACAGCACCATCTGAATGTCAAGAGGATTAAAAGAAAGAGAAGTCCAGGCATGCAGCACTGCACCTAGCACTCGGGATGTCAGAAAGACTGCACACTCCGGACACCCTGGGCCGGGCTCCTCTGCCTTCAGGGCAGCCAGAACTTTGTCTCCATCATCCTCAGCCTCAAGCATGTGTCCATATGCCACTCAAAAAGTGACACTTCAGGGCTGGGGCTATGGCTCAGTGGTAGAGTGCTTGCCTAGCATGTGTAAGGCACTGGGTTCGATTCTCAGCACCATGTATAATTAATAAATAAAATAAAGGTCCATTAATGACTAATAAAAATATTTTTTAAAAAAGTGACACTTCTTGAACGGGTCATGATATGAAAAAGTCTGGGAAGCTTTGGGTGGGGGATGAGCATATGGCTAAGCAGAGGCAATGCAATTACTGTGGATGGTGGTTTCCAGAAGACTGACGAGAAGGAAAGCCGTTGAGAACCATGACAGAGGGTGCATTCGTTGTGTTTACAGGGTAGGGAGAAGAAACCAGTATGGAAGGAAGACTGAGTACATAGAAAAACAACAGGACCTGGGGTTAAATGGAGGTGATGGAGGCCATCCATCCAGTGTGGGAAGAGAGGCCTGGGGAGGCAGGCAGGGAGGAGGGGGATGAGCCCCAGGGGAAAAAGAGTGAAGTAGGGAGTGCTCACACCAGAGAGCCCCAGTCTATGCAGGAAAGGATGAAGGAGACAGTTCAAGGCTCTAGGGCCTGAGGAAAGTGGAAAAGTTCCAAGATGCAGACTGTGGGAATCATGATTCTGAAGCAAGGGAAGGCAGCAGAGCTGAGTGATTGGGGGTGAGGGCATGCAAGAAGGGGTGAGCATTGGTCAGGAGCGGAACCTTCAAGTCTGGGCATGCAACACCCTCTTGCTCTTCACCAGCCAAACCACTCTGTTCACAGCCTCAGAGACGATGCCTCCCATGAACAGCCCTCAGAAGGTCTGTATGTAAGTGCTCCTCTAGGGCAGAGCCCAGCTCAGGACTGCCCACCCGACAAGGCCTTCATGGACACATCTGCTAAGCTGACAGGCTACAGAAAGCCCTCTGGTGCCCACATCCTCCCTTTAAAGAAGAATCAACACTGTCAAAAAATGGCAGCCCTGAGATGGAGGATGAGAATGATGACAATCATTCATGTCTTGTATTCATTCAGTGCAAAGAGCTATAGAGAGTTGTGCATTTAATTTTTTCTTAAAAAAAAAAATACAATCCTGAAACTATGCTTTCCAGATTATTCCAAGAACTAGGAGGAACTCAAATGCACATTTGAGTCTTACACTGTGGCAAGCAGGACCTGAAGCCGGCTCTTGGGAGCTCCTGTGCTGCAGGCAAGGGTGCCCACAGCGCCAATCCAGTCCTGTCCAACAGCTGGGGGTGCCCTGTGCAGGAGGGAGCCCCTTCCAGGGCAGCCCAGGCTTGCCCTACACACCACATTTCCTGAAGAGAGCTGCTCCAACCTCCTCTAGAATGACAGGGCCACGGCCTCTTCATTCTTGTGGTCTCAGTGTTTTCCCCTGGAGAGTCGGCTTGCTTCCGTTTCTCCCTTTCCTTCCAAATCCAGTCCCTCCTCCCGTGTGTCCATATTGTGTTTGTTAGACAGCCTGTCTTCCACTCGCTCAGGGAATCTAGCTTCCACCCCACGCCACGCCTCTCTTTCTCACAGGTCACAAGTGGCCTCGTGGATTCCTTCCTGTGCCCAGGTCACAAGGTGTGTGGCCTCCCGGGGTCTGTGTTCTTTTTCCCTAGAGGATGCTCTGAGCAGGTGACCTCAGCACCCTAAGGGGCATTTGTTTTCACCTAAGCTGTGGGGCCACGAACTGCTTTAGAATCTAATGAGAGCCCTGATGAGATTCACCCCACAACATGTGCATGAAATTTGGCAGCAAGCTACGTGAGGTACCCCAAGCCTATGCACACCTTTGTCGCTCTCCATGCATACCTTTGTCGCTCTCGCTGAACCCTCTGATTGCTGAGCCCTGACCAGGGGCTTCATGTAATCTCGGGGAGTTCTTAAAGTTCATTACCTGGCCCTTTCCCAAATCAGATGCCCCCGCCCCCAGCTTGTTTACTGCCATCCTGGCGGCACATGCAGTTCACCTGAAGTACCGCTCCCTGTCCAATGGGCACCTCTGCTCTTTTGCTTCCTTCTCAGTCAAGGCAGAAGTCCCTTCCCAACAACACACCTGGATGCTGCCAAGCTGGGGCCTGAGTTGGTGTTTCCTGAAGCTCTTTCCCCTGGCTTCAGCCCTCCCCTCACAGCTGCATCTCTGGAAATCTGCCCTGATCTTCTTTTTAAACATACAAAGGGTTGAGGAGGAGGCCTGGAGTCACACCTGACAGTCACTAAAATAATTATGAGGCTAGGAAAAGCGGCCTGAAACCACCTCTGGGAAGGAAGGATGCCTGTGGCAGCTGCAGCGGGAAAGCAAAGATCCACCCAGAGGGGACCAGGAGCAGCCAGCCCCAGCGTGGAAGGCAGGCCTCTCTGGAGGGAACACCTCATTAATTTCCAATTTGGAAACTGTACTCACATCAACGCCCAGTCCATAACCAGGGCCAGTGGCAGAAGACAAAAGGACAAAGGGTTTTTCATGGAAAAAGTTAAAAAGCCACGAGGAGATGCATAAACAAAACCCTTCAGAAGAAGATCATGTCCTGCTTCTGCGGAATCACAGGACTCGGACCACTCCTGCGGCAGGCAGCAAGTTTGCTGCACACACTCTGAGACACTAGTGCTGAGAATGTCAGGTTAACAGAGTCGGCCCTGACTGCAGGGTATTGCTGGGAAAACCCTGGGCCAACTAGGAGCCCACACCATCCACTGTGCATGGCACCTCAACATCCAGGAAGACTGAAACAGCCCAGCACCCTCAGTCCCAGACCCTGACATCCCACACAGGCGGGGGAGGGGGAGTCCCTTATTCAGCCTGTTCAACAGCTGAGAAAATAGACTTCCTGAGAGTCACACAAGCTCCCAAGTGGCAGCCATGGGCAGATCCACAACCAAAGGCTTAGATTCAAAGTCTATTTTTTCTTATATTTCAGCTGAATGTCATAAAATAGAAAAGCGAGAGATGTGAAATAAAGAAGCAAATGTACCTCAAATGCATATCAACTTTCTATAGTTTAAAGAGACAACGGTGTGAGGAAACCTTTGAACACTGTGTCCTAATACCATTCAAATGTATTTTAAAACTTATCCTCTGAAAAATGTCAGCCCCTTAGTAAGACACCTCTGGTTCTAAAAACTGCTAATGGGGTTAATTTATAATTTTAAATAATAAGATGTAAAATCACTTCTGCAGCAACTCTGAGTCCCATCTATAAAATGTTTAGTTCAAAAGACATCTTAGAAAGAAACATTTTCCTGACTGAAGCAAAACCAGGCTGTTTGAGTGGCAACGGCGGGAAAAGGGGTGGGTAAAAGAGAAGCCAAATGTGCCAAGAAGAAAGCATCTGACAAAGAAGTGGGCAGAAAGAGGAGGGCTGGAAGACAGCAAGGGGCAGGTCAAAGGAAGGACTGCCTAGTGAAGGCCTTGGAAGCAGCAGGCAGAGGCTGGGGGGTAGCTGAGGAGTAGGGGACTCTTCCACTAGGCC